AATCTCACAGATAGAATAATTGTGATAAATCCTTTAATCTTTAATTACTTTAACTGAGGTTTTTAATTTTCTGTAACAGTTTTTAAATAATTTCACACCTTAAAAAATAATCTTTATTTCATTCTAAAGATAACCTTTTATTTCTTTTATTTAAAGACCATTAAAGAAATTCATTCAAAGGTAGATGCAGATATTCCTTTAAATCACTTAATCACGCAATTACGATTCACATATTCATATCTACCCTTCATATAATTCCTTATATCAAGATAAAATTGAGTAGCTTTCCCCCCCTGATGTATTTCACCTTAAATTCATTAGGTGGCAGAAATGTCCAAAATCTGCTTCTGTTTGCTGATCTGCAAAACTTCAAACCGAGTTTTACTGAGTTTTTTTAATCACAGATTTCATATCCGGAAACAAAACAACAACAACAACAACAACAACATGTTTGTTATTTTGCCTCCAAAAGTTCCATAAAGTCATCAAATTTGTTCACATGGCTGGCTGTGTTCATTTACTAAATCTTGCTCCTCTGCAGCTTTAAGAAATTTCACACAGATTTGAAAGATGTTTCTCAAATTGGACAAGCTTTGGATATTAAATATTAAAAACACAGATAAAACTGCAGACTGTGTTGGGGCTGCATGTCTGCACTGCAGATGACCCTTAGGCCCCCTCAACAAAGTCAAAGTCAGCCCCTCTCAGCTGAATTCTACAAGTCAAATTCATTATTCATTGATTAGCTGACTAACTGCAGCTTTGATGAGTACACAAACTATTGATTAGAAATAAAATATATTTTTTAACATGTAATATTTATGTATATCTATTGCTGTTAATATTGTGGAATAGTTTCAGCTTCTCGTAAATGTTATATTTGACATGAAACACAGAAATCTTACTCATGTTATCATTGATATTTAAAGCCCTAAATCTACTTACGGATACATTCAATTATAAAGTATAAAATGACAGACGTGATTGGGAGAGGATAATTTAATATGTTATAGTAGGATCAATAAAGAATTTATCTATGAATCTATCTGAATTAGGGTTACAGTCACTCCAATACTAACCTGTGGCTTCCGCCCTGAAAACAGATGTTGCATTATAGGGATCCTTTATGATAGTTCTGTTAATATGGTTTCTTATTGTGTAATCATTTGAGGGGCTTAAAAAATCAGTTCTGTGTTTTTTGTGTTTCTTTCAACCTTTGATAAACTGAGAGCTCCTTCAATTCTTCATCACAATCTTAACTAATCCACAGAGTTAATGTCTTTGACACAAAGACCCAAGGAACCAAAAAACCTTAAGAGAACCTGAAAACTGGTAAAAGTCGTCTTAATAATATTCTGCTGCAGGATGGTAAATCACAATAAAGGCAGTACTGAAACATAAAGCTCACTTCTTTGGAATAAAACAAAAAACAGAGCAACAAAGACACATAATTAAGAATTTTGTTGTGACATTTCATCCTGTTACTTCAATCACATTAGGTTGTACAAGAACAGCAAACCTACTCTTCTTCCTTTGTCTCATGGTCTTGTCTGCAGGGAGAAATTACCAGTATCCAGACCTTCCAGTTCCTGAACACAAGAACACATTTCAGTCTACATCATTATCCTCATTAACAGTTACATACAGATTAGCTGTAGAGTACACATATTTACTCCGAAGACCTGTGAGCACAGGCAGTAACAAACAGCAAACACACAGATTACTGCTTGGGTTTCATTGTGACTTACACTGTTGACGTCCTGGTTTGTCTTTACTTTGGTGCTGAAGAACTACAGAAAATGTGAAATACGTTTCGTCAAAAACAGTCTGCTGTTTACTGGAGTGTTACTGTGACCAACAACATCTCTCTGTCAATGCAAGTTTCAAGTCAAGTCAGCTCATAGGATTAAAAATAAAACCACACTGAACAAGTCAAAGCTAAAAGTCCCCATTCAGAGACAACTCAACGCTAAAAACAAGCAAAACCTGAATCAACCATTAAAAATATTGGATGGCACACCAACAGAATTTACAGCTTTAATATGCTGTCAGATACAGGTTACTAGAAAAATATGGCAAAAGAGAGAAAAATAACATAAATAACAAGTTCATGCTTCGACTCATTGTAGGGAGGCTTCCTCTTTATTGTGCTCAAGTTTATTAGATTTATTACCAACGTAGTCTTGTCAGACTAATGGGGGACAACAAATTATGGGGGCTGCCCCCCCAGCCCCCATTGGTGCTGCATTACATTTATGATAAGAGGAAGTTAAATAAATATGTGGTAAAATGTTGCGTAGGTTTGGAAGTGATCAATAACACTCAGTCTGACTGTCGTTCCTCTAAATACCAGAATTCACTCAGAATCCTTTCAGCACTAAAGGAGAAACAGGACCCACCTCCTCTCTGATGAACATACTGGTGATGATGAGACAATAAAGGCTGAGGAAGCTGCTCACGATGTAACACGGCGTGGAGTCGTGTAAGATTACAGGCTCTGTGGAGGTCAGAGTCAATGGTTAAACAAAGCGCAAGCATGAGCAAAATCTGAAGAAATGTTAAAGGGAGACTGGTGTAGATGTTTCTTTTTCCTGCTGTATTTACTGCTGAAATAAATTAATTGGGTCTGGGGCATGACTGACCTTGTGACCATCTCCTAATATATATCCTCCCTAACATTTGCTTATAGGCAAAATACCAAAAGTAGAACTCAGGCTGATTTGACTGTTTGATTTCTTGGCAATATAGAGGTTCTAGTATTTTCTTAGCGCCAGACTCATCAAAGTATCACTAACATTATCAGAATTCTGGATGTCCAGGAGGACGGGGCTATGGCTCACCACACCCTCTAGCACAGGGGTGGGCAATTCCAGGCCTCGAGGGCCGGTACCTTAGATCTCACCCTGGGTCAACACACCTGAATCAAATGATTAGTTCATTACTCTGGAGAACTATAAGAGGTGTTGAGAAGGTCATTAAGCCATTTGAATCAGCTGAGTTGGATCAAGGACACATCTAAAACCTGCAGGACACCGGCCCTCGAGGCCTGGAGTTGCCCACCCCTGCTCTAGCAGATCATTACATGAAGGAACCTTTTAAATACAGGTGTACACACGGGTGCTCACACACACAAACTACACCCTTTTTGGCTTCTACCTCAAAGCACACGCTGCGCTGTCAATTTTACGTGCTGCACAATAATATTTAGTATTTGCTGTTATATTCACATAGATCATCGAGATTATGTTGTTTATTCTATTGCTCTTTTTCTTTGCTTGTTTTCTCTTTTTTTCTTTCTCAACAGGTGATCCAGGTGATTGATATTTGTATGTTTTGTCTGTTTGTTGGTTTTTGCCCTTTGTCACCGTCCCTCTTCCCCGCT